TTCTTGACACGTACAAATCCTGAGCGAGCAGAAACAATAATAAAGTACTCTTCAGCTCCATGTACGTTAAAAGTTAATGCTGCAAACACAAAGTACTTTGCGTTCGCAGCAATTAAAGTTCGTGTGCGGTAGATTATGACGCAAGTCTAAATAATAATGAGGGCGTTGAAAAACGCGTCAATATAATAAAATTCGGAAGTCGCAAACGCAGTTACGCAGTGCATGTCGTGTGTCTACAAGATGGCGGCTTGCATGCGGCGATTTGCGTGCTCGAGCGTCTATAGAATGTGTACGACATTGAACGGAGCTACAACGACAACATTCACCTACCTCAGAGATACACGGTTATTATTTCATACTGCTGGTGTCAATACAGACAAATACAGAAAAGGTAACGAAACCTAAGTCTATTTTTTAGACGAGAACTAGGCCTAGGGCCTAGGCGCTAGGCCTATCATAGGCCCTATGTGGACCTATATAAGGCTCGGCGAGAGATGTCGCTATATACCTAGGCCTAGTAGACGAGTACTTTTCTGTGTAGGTTATTCGTACCATATTTTGGAGAACCTTACTTCTACCTTTTGTACTTTTTTGTGTAAATCGAGAGCCTACTTACCGATCCACAATGTAGAATTAGACTCTCTACTAGGTTTTTGGCTACTTGATATTTTAATTAAGTTTATACAGCACTTTGTTATGACTTTTCAAATATTACTTAAAAACTTGATCTTTAATTTATATTTTGCATTTTACAGTTCTAGAAACCACTGAAGGGGATGTTACGACGGTGAGTATACTTTTAAAAGTTACTGTATTACAATACTACTTACTAGGCCTACTTGTAGATTACTACTTACTACTCTTATTTTTATATTATGTAAATTATTCAATTTAAGTAAGTGAACATGTGCATTAGATCAAAAAGCGGTTTTCAATAAAGTGGTTGATTGATTGATTGATTGATACTCGATTTACAATATAGAGGGCAGCAGACAGTTCTGTTCAAGAAGACTCCTTTTTTTTCTTAGTTTGTCAACCACGGTTCCCAATTATTTTATTTTTTTTTTTTTATTTTTTTTTTTTTGTTATCGAAGAAATGCTACAAGTTGTAATTCAGGTTTGATGTATTTTATTGTCTTCAAATTTGATATTTGTTCATAGGTTGAAGCAGAATATGTTTCAGCAACTGCAGCAACTAAATTCATTAACAAAGAATATAAAGATGCTTGTCCAATCTGTCGACTAAACCTCAAGGTAACATATAAGGTAAGTACTATACACAAAGATTATTGAGTGGCAGCACAAATGGAGGGTCAAGAGGACAATCGCATGGACTCCCAATGTCCAGTGGCATGTCTAGTAGCCTTGAAGGAAGGGGGGAGAGAGAGTGGGTGGGCACTGATGGGGAAGAGGGCCTGAAAGTGAAGGCTCAATGAATAAGTGAATGCTATCTCCAATGAGGAGCGGGATGCAGCCTTTTGGGAGCCCCTGCGCACCATTAGATTTGCCACCGATTCGTCACAAGGTCGTCAAGACTAAAATATTGATTATGTGTCCATCCAAACAAGGGCTGAAAAAATATTAGCCTAGCCCAGGATTTATCAATCTCAGCTCAGCAAATGTCTTAAGTCAAAAAAGTTAAGATGTCCCTAATAAATATCTTAAGCTGATTTATTACCCAATCTTAGCAAAATCTTGGCTTAAAAATCGTCTTAGATGGTGCCAACGTACAATTGACTTTCTAATTTTAAGCAATTTTTAAGCTAAGCAATATGGATAAATTTGACTTAAGCAAAAAAATGGACATAAGACAAATTTAAGCTGATTTCTAGTTTGATAAATCTGGCGCCTGGGCCTTGGGTCTCTTCGTTATGCCGCTAAATGAAGATCTTCAAGAATGACAATTTTTTTATATTATTATTTACAGGATGTTTTAATATTAAGCCAAT